TGTAAGAACCAAGAATTCAATAGAATATAGTATATAGACATATTGAAAAATAGGTTTATTAAATAAGTACAATATACAGTATATAAATGTATATTATGTAAATTTGTTGGAGACAATTTTTTTAGTTTTGTCGTTGCGTTTATGACAGACTAACGCAATTTACTAAAGGCGATGAGAAAATAAACGTTTCTCTTGATTCCAGGTCATTCAATAAAGTTATATTGTATATTCCATACGAAAATATCTTCGGCTTCCAAGAAATATGGATATATTGGATATCGATGAAGTATTAAAAGATGATTCATACATGTATGTAGCAACATTTGTATTTGCATCTGCGGTTAGTTCAACTGATAAGAATACATGCGTTTGTTTTTCTTTAAAATTTTAGTTTTCTGGCCGATAAAACACACGATGATATATCAAATATTCTTCACCAATGGAAAACTAACAATCAACAACACTTGCAACAATATTTACAGCCGAGTAATGAAGAAGGTGCGTACGTCTATCATAAATACATATACATATGTATGTACATAAATACACATACATATTTGTGTATATTAGAATGCATATTAAACATCATGTTAACATAAAAAACAATATCATTTGAATTATAGAATTCGTTGAAATGGTGCGATTACGTTATTAATAAGTGTAGGCGAGCAGCTTTTTAACTAGTAGGTGTAATTGTATTTTTCTTATTTACATAATATTGCTCCCATTTGGAGGAATTCATTAATTAAATCAATCTGCAAATGATTTCAAATTTACAAATATTCTCAATATGCCAGTAATGATATCGGAAAAGTGTCCACAGTTGAACACCAATGTGCGTAGGGTGATCATCCGTCCTGGAATTCCGGGACATGTCCGGCTTTTGGAGGTAATGTCCTGGTGTTCCGGCCGATGCTACTTGGAAGTATTAAAAATAGCGCAAATTTCGAAAGGGCTTTTGTCTTACTAAATACAAAGTGGTCAGACGAAAGAAATAAGTTACTGGTGGAGAATATTAAAAACATCCATATAGTTCAATTGAATTTTGTGGACATAAAAACATTAAATATTGATGAAAGAAATGTTAGGTTGGTAGTTGTTGGGTTTGGTAGTTGTTGACAGTCCAAGAATGGGCTCCGGCCCAGATGGTCACCCTAAATGTGTGGCTTTGGCGAAATATCAGCGCCTCATATGTTGCATATTAATTCTAAGAGTTCACTGCTCTAGCTCTCAACACAGAATCATTTGGTATGACATGCACATCTCTTAGCCTGATTGACCAATTGGGTAAACTCAGAAGTTTCTCCCACAGACACAGACACACTAACCTAATTTTTATTTTTGTTGATGTATCAATTAAAACTAATTTATGTATTTATATATATATTTTATATAAAGCATACAAGCATAATTCAAAAACATTCACGAGGCCCAAACGCAAATCACAGGCAGCAGAAAAAATGGAGGCACAATTTGTAAGTGAACATTTATTTTTTCAATTTAATTTTGTATTGATGTCATCAAAGATGAGACTAGTTATCATCACACTGTTTGTTTCTTGATGCGAAAATCGAAAAATCTGTAACTGTTAAAATGTATTATATTATATCATATTAATCCATAGTTTCCATGAAGAGGGGAAAAAATAAGATAGCAATAGTCGAAGGTAGCTGAATAGAAAACACCGAACCCCGACC